GGCCACGATTTGAGGGAGACCTTCGGCGCGGCCTCCTTCTTGGATGTAGCCTTCGCCTTCGCCTTCCCTGGTCGGGGTTGTTTATGCGGCGGTGGAGGCGGCAATGCAGGCTGCTTTCGCTTATTGGCACCCGATGCAGCAGGAGGAGCAGGAGGCGTCGCCGGTTTCAATCGCGGCGCCAATGAATGCAGTGTACACGTCCGGGCGCGCGAAAATCATTTCTGCAAGGGCGTCGGTCAGCGACCATCCCTGGTCAGCCTGAATGGAGGCGACGCCGATCCAGAGTGCACGGTCGGCTTCGGCAATCTCCTGCAGCGAAGGAGGCCGCATGTTGCGGTCTGAGGGAACCGCAAGAGCAATGCTGAGAAACTTCTCAGCTGCTTTCCTCAGATGCAACAAGTGGGCACCATCATGCAGTGCAACGGCATACATCAGCAGGTCCCAAAACCGACGCACGATAGGCTCCACCGGGCCGGACTGAGGAACAGATGCAGTGCACTCCTCCTCAGGTTGGCCTTCTTGAAGAAGGCGAGTCAGGAGTTTGGCGTCCGTCCGAGGGCGACGCTGCTCCAGAAACCTCTCCTCGTCGAATGCAGAGGAACGCAGTCTCCAGGGGATCCAACTGAAACGCTTGGAGTCAAGATGCTCACGAACCAGTGCAAGAAACGGAGATGAAGGCATGATGTCATTGCGAACGAGTTCTGATGGATAGGCCTTCATGAACTTCTGCATAAGCTCCGCAATCTCCTCCTTGGAGAAGATTCTCTTTCCCGGGCCCGCCGGCGGCAATGCAGAGGGCTGAGCAGGTCCAACTCCTGCACATTCAGACTTGCACAGATTGTAAAGCCTCCGCAGTGCAGCAGCATCCGCTGTGAGAAGTGGGGCCGATGGATCAGCTCCCAGCGGGCGTCCCACAATCGAGACGGTGAAGTGCTCCAAGGCCGCTTCGTCCGGCACGGCGAAGGCCAGCAGAGCCATGGAGTTGAACCCTTTGTCCACGAGTGTGTCCAGCAGTGCAGAGGGAAGAGCCATCTCATCACAA